TCCCGCTGTAGGTACTGAGGAGACCAAGGCGTGGTTGAAGCTGCATTCCACTCTTGAATGAATAAGAATAACTTTTGGGAAACAAGGCTATGCGAAATTTAATGGAAAGTTTACTAATATCATTTCGTGAAAATCTAATTACCAGTCCTTCATCACCATCAAGAAATACATCTCATACTAAAGGTCGTTATGCTTGTAGCATGGTTTTGTGCAAGTCCTTTAAATAGCACAGCTAAGATGTATTAAGGCTTTTATATTTTCCGAATATTTTATGCTTTTTTGCCTCTAGCCTATATTCTCAAAACAATGCTAATCATAGCCCAACATTTTAATACAAAAATCTGTTTTTTAATGAACCCGACAACTTTTAACTGTTAAGATGCAAGGCAAGATGCAGCAGGGCGATTCTGTGTTGACAAGTGACGCCTCAACGGCTGGCCGGATTCAGCTTATTTCAGGCCTCGTCGATAGACTAGGCATTGAGGTGCCTTCAGCACCTCTGCCCCCACCTCCGTTCAGTGCTCCGGTATTGATGGCCTCAACTTCATCCACGACAGGAGCTGGTTTAACTCCAAAATCCAAGTCTAAAGGATTAGAACAGCCAGTGTTCGCATCTGCACTTGCAATAACAACAACACCAACACGATGCAAGAGTGCTAGACTCAATAGACTGGAACGACAAAATGAAATATTAAGACCAACAGAAAGCCGTCTTTATTCCCTATTCACTTTCTCTCCTTTCAGTCCTACAAGTACAACTTGTACTGATCGTGAAAAGCCGGTCTTTTCCTCAGACGGTGAGATGGATGAAGCAGTAGGGGATGATGATGAGGAAGATGTGGAAGATGAAGACAATAAGGAAATAACTAATGTTTTTGAGGAAGTTGCAGAAGGAACAGGCCGGCTATTTGAAAGAAATGAACATGGAATACGGAACAGGACTGAAATGTCGATCGAAGGGGTTGCAATCCGAAAAAACGTGGCCAATACTTATGGACTTAGTAATCGTGATGATGGAACTAATACTGCATCAGCTGGAATTTTTACTCCTCGCCCTGGAATAATTTGTGCTCAGGCAACCAAGCGTGATGCGACGACAGTTAACGCTTCGCTTAATGCGTTTGCAGACGTTAGCACTGTTGGGGGCGATGGTAGTTCTGGCATTTTTCCTTTGGAGGAGGCCTCCGTGAGCCAAGCAACAATGATAGACTACTCGACCTGGCAACTTTCGGATGAGCGCTCTCATGGTCTGGAGGCGCGGGAAGAACGACTTTACCAAAGCCTTGTCACCATCACAAGAGCTGCAATAGATGCTGCCGTCAAGACTAAAGGTAGGGAGATTAACTAGCTGTCCTTCTCATTCCCATCCAATTTCACTATACGTGTCATGCTTTGCCCCTTTCTAATTTTATCCTTCTCTACACAAAGCCATATTATCTTCAAATGATTTACATATATTAATGAATAGTATCAAATCCTCTTTACTGCCAAGCAGTTCTAAAAGGCTGCTAGAGTATTTAGCAGAGTTCGTGAGTAAAAAATAGTGTGTATATTGCTTGCCAATACTTTTTATTTCATTTTATATCTTTATGTTGCCTTAAAAATTGATGGATCAAATAGATTAGCCTAAGTGATTGTTTTAGTTTTGACTCTTTGTTAACCAGATTGATATAGTTTCATAAAAATCCCTATTTCTACTTTCAATTAGCTTAGAAAATCTCTTATTTTGTCTTTTAACTATTTATTTACTTAAATAATATAAATCAATGATCAAACTATTCACTGTGACATCCATATCAGTGGCTAATTTTATGTGATGCGTGTGGTTCTTCATCGGACAAAGTAGGTAAGAGCCTCTTCCAAATCTTGATACGAATTAAGCTTAGAGCCGAAGAATTTTGTCTTTCCTTCGATAGCTCTAATGCCTATGAATTAAATAGCACTACCAATATACGCACTGCTTCCAAATTAGGCCATTTTTTCAATTTCAGCGAATTTTGTCTATTGTTAGATCAGCATAGCTGCGTAAAAACACTCATCAACATCGCTCGAAATC